TATGAGCACTATGCATAACCACTACACAGCAGCGTGAAGTGATTGGACGAACACAGAAGATTTGAGCTGTATTACACAATCCCCTCTGTTGGTCGTCCTTGTTGTTCTTCCTCTATCTGCAGTGATATGAACTCTTTTAGTGGAGGACGAGCCAGACTGTTGATCACTTTGTACACTAGACAGGCATCAGCAAGACCCACAAAATGTTCAAAGGATAGGAGGTTATAAGAATGATGTTTCTGTAACTTAAATGAACATAGCCTGTCCAGTGTCCATTATGCACATGGAAAGCCATGGATTCCAACAGCAAAAAGGAAACTAGGGCTGTGAGTAGCACAGTAGACACAGGCCCTTGTGGCAATTTATGATGCATGTCGGGATGTGGCATAGCCATCGTGTTTTTTTATCATCAGACACCCAAAGGTCAAAAACAATGTAAAAGTTATTTGTTTTGGTTAGAAATAGGGCTTTTAGTGTTATTGCATTGATCTCAATATGATTAAGGTCTGAACTTAAGGCATTCAGTATTCTTTTTTTGGATTAAATGCATGTTATTTTGTCCCTTTAGGCACACCGTAGCTAAGCCACTGCACCCTGATGTCACAACCACTAAAACAAAGACAAGAAAATATGACAAGTCACATCTCGCCTTTTGGCTTCACCTGTGGTGAAGAGAGCCACAATCCCTTTTTTCCCCACATCCTACTTTTGTAGGGAGTTTTTAATCTTCATAGAGTCAGGTTTAAAAAAAATATCAGTTAAAAGCAATAACTGTTGTTACAGCATAACAATTTGGAAGTTTCATGTTTCACTATAAACAGTGATGTAAAAGTTTTTAGTATTTCCAGTTTGTTGTCACAAACATCTTGTTTGTTTGAGATCAATATTCTGAAAACAGAGATTTTTTAAGAGTGTGACTGACAGTGTGATTAGTGTATATGTTTATGTATAGATGTGTATGGTTAGGGTTGGAGGGCTCCAGGCAGAGTAAGTTGGGGAACTATCACTGTAAGACAAGCACAGTGATGGAAAAAAAAGACACTTCTGCACCTTTAAATGGCTCATTTAAATAAAAGAACACACATCCAGACAGCTCAGTTGACAAGTAAAATGATATATCCACCTTGATAGACATTTTATTTTTCACTGTTCTCTTTAGCTGTTTTCATTTACGTTTTGGTTCCTTTTTTTCTTTCAAAACAAATGCAGGTTTGTATTCAATCAGAAAGTTACAGTAAGTACCCTCAAAGAATACGGTAGAAAAAAAAAACAGAAAAACTTTTTTGAATTGCAAAATAATAGTATTACAAACAAATTACAAAAAAAATCTTTAATCATGATTAACTATTGAATTTCAGTGTTTATTCTCAATTTAAAAAATGTAATTGACATTCTCAATTAGAAACCAATTTAGCCTAACAAGGCTTGCTGTGTCTTACCAGTAGGTGGTGCTATTATGAAATTACAATTTGGGCATGTAGATATGTTTAAAAAGCACAGACTGCATAAACATTGAAGTAGTCTCAGTGACGTGACCCATTGGATTCTGAAGGGGACTTTTGAAGTTGATCCGCTGCGGTAGCCATTTTGGAAATTCGGTCTTAAACTAACTTTTGGTCAGCAAAGTAACAGACGACGAGCTGGAGCTGAAGCAATTATGCCTCCTGACAAACGGCTCCCCGCCCGTCAATCAGCTTAGCCTGATTATGCATAACTTTTATCCGACATAAAATTAAAACAGAAGAGTAATAGAAAAAATCACCCCCTGTAAAGTGTCTTCCAATCAAGTTATGATTTCATTTTTTTTTTATCAGGCTGTAAACGTTTATTTAGGCGGTTAAAATTGGCTTTTTTGAATGGGTGTAAAATATGACTCCTGGGGCTTTTTCAGCCAGCCTCAAGTGGACACTCTAGGAACTGCATTTTTTTTTTTTACAACTGAGGTGGAGACCTCTCGTCCCATGCCCTCTCGCCTCATGCCGTTTCGCGCCACAACCTCTCGCTCTTGCCTGGACATTTCCAATGGAACGTAGATAGGGTCAAAAATATGAAATCGCAAGTTATTTTCAAACGGGTCAGCGACGAGAGGGCATGAGAAGAGAAGGCTCCAGCCTGCAGACATAGACTCTTGGGGGGTTTTCTTCTTGTTAAAAAGCAACTTCATCAAACATTTTAAGTTTGTCTCAGTTTGAACCCAGTAGTTTTACGTCACAACAACATCCTGATCATGGTGTCAAATAAAGTTTGTGTCAGTTGTCATGGTTGGTTAGCTGGTTCCAGGTCAGTTTTTCAGGGTGAGGCCCACAGACATAACTCAAATCAAAGTTTTCAATCCTATCGATTTGTGTTACTGTACTGTACTAGTATTAAGCCCCTTAAAAAGCCTAATTTTTCATGACAAACAACAGCATCAGATGTAGACTTATGGGTTTCATAAAGAAGCAGGGTGAAGGCTTGAGGATTAGGATGATCAAATTTGAAGGGGATTCCACCAACAGAAAAGGTATCGTGACTGATGATTCAGAAGCATTGTTTGGCTTTACAACTCTCCTTCAGTAACCAATGGGTGATGTCACTGAGACCATTTTCAATCCACTGATGTTGACCCTGCTGCTGTATAGTGTGGATGCAGTTAAGACAAGACAGAAGTCATTGTGGTTGGCCTGAAACCCCTCAGAAACACTTTTCTTATGATAAAACTGCCCTATGCCATCAGTCTGGCATCCATCTATCACCAGGATTAGAAATCTGGGAGCAATATTTGATCAGGAGATGTCCTTCAACTTCAACATAGAACACATTTAAAAGACAGCTTTTTTTAACTTCCAAATAACAGGGCACGTCCAAATAAGTCCCTTAAGACTCTTCAGCTTGTCCAAAAAGCTGAAACACATGTAGGCTACTGACGAGATTTACAAAAAGAGATCCCATAGTATCTTTTAGTAATTTAAAATTCTTCTTCTCATTTACAAAACTAGTGTTTAGGCATCGTTACGCTCCTATAATCTGGGCCTCGTTGTGGTACTTAAAGTGGAAGTAGCTCTTTCAGTTATCAGGTCCTACTCATTTTTTAGATTTTAAGAATTTTCTAGAGAGGGAATGACAGGCAGCGAGAGGAACACAATTTAATATCTGTGTGAACTTGTATTTGGTTGAAATGACAATAAAGAAAACTTGAAGACTTGATTTATATTTACAATGTTTATTCGGGATTGCTATATGCATTAGCTTTACTCAAAAAGTTGAAAAAAATAACATATCAGAGTACTTAAAGTTTTCATCTTAGACAGAATAGTGAGATGGATAGCAGTGAATTTAACCCTGACTTCTATCTGCAACATCCAAACTTTTCTTCTTACTCTATTCAAGATCTATTTTTTTTAAACTGCAGATGCGTGTGTGTTTGTGTGAGAGGTGTGTGAGAGTGAGTGAGTGAGTGTGTGCGAATATGTGTGTATGAGGTGTGTGTGTGTGTATGTGTGTATGAGGTGTGTGTGTGTGTGCACGTGTGTGTGCATGTGTATGTGTGGGCAGTGTGCAGAGCTTGGATGCTGCTCTCTGCCTCCTCCACATATCCAGTTAGTTATGTAAGAACGCTGAAGAGTAGCCCATATGGTTCTGCAAGCTTATTTATAAAGCTGTCTGTTCGTGCAACTTCTCTCGACCTTGGAGGTGTGTTAACTTGAATGCTGGATGTTTACATTCATATTTATTTTAAAGGAGGTTACCTGCAACAAAAACAAACTGCTCTTCCTGTCCCCATGTGAGATCTTTCTGGTATTGCTGAACCGAAAGCGTTGGTTTGAGACAGGATTTGATAAACCTCCAAGGGATCAAACTGTTTATTCATGAGCACCTTAGCTCTATTAATCACACTCATTGAAATATATTTCTTCTCTATCCCTCTCTCGATCTGTGTGTGTGTGTGTGTGTGTGTGTGTGTGTGTGTGTGTGTGTGTGTGTGTGTGTGTGTGTGTGTGTGTGTGTGTGTGTGAGAGAGAGAGAGGAACTGCTTACAAACATATTTAATGGATTGGAGTAACTGTGGAGAAAGTTTGAAATTTCATAAAACATCATTCACACTTTGTGGTCTAACCTTGTCACAAAATATATCTTTAATATTTGTTTACAACCACCTTCCATTTCAAGCTTAAAGTAACACTGTCTACATTGACATAGAGGCTATTTTATTCAACACACAAAAAAAAATCCAAACTAACAGCAACTGAAGAGGGAAATGTGGATGTACTGTCGCTATCAGAGAAACACTGCCCTCAAGTGGCCTGTCACAAAGCATACACATGAAAGAGTCCCTTTTAGTGTTTAGTGTTTTTTTTTTTTTAAAAAGATTAGGTTACTGCGATACTGAACAATGCTGAGTAAAAGCCTTTTTTCACGTATAACTATTCTAACCATAAAAATGGCTGAAATATGAATCAGTGGATTCTTGATGTTATACCTGGTTTTTGGCTGGTTAATGTTTATAGCATCAGGGTAAAGCGTAATACAGAAAAGAGGGGGGGAAATGCACAATATATAGGCCTATCGTGGGACAGCACTGCTCTTTAATATATTTAATATTTGTCTTTGCTAATGTTTGCGTATTTTGATTTTGTTTTGTTTATTTCTGTTTTGCCTGTTTTTGTTTATTTGCCGTCGCTTTAATTGTCATGTTTGTGTGCACATTTTTGTTTTGTACTTGTTCACCTTCTCACAATAAAAAAATAATAATTTAATTTTAGCTCAGAGGGTTTAGTTTACGATGAACGGAAATGGATTAAACAAACAAATTCCCGTGTAATATTAAGCAAGATTAAATGGCGTTTTGACAGCAATGACATCTGATCAGACGTCCATACCATAGGTCCATACACTATTTTTCCCTAACTTCGTGCATTATTTCCAAGGTTCAAAAAGAGCACTTGAATGCATCTTGTAAACGCCCCTTGGTGAGGTCATGGTCTGCGATTGGCCGAGCCTGCAAGTCCATCAAAACTGAACATCGCCAGCAGTCGGAGTGAGGGGAACAGGTTGAGAGGAACTGGAGGCTTGTACATTCAAATATTGTTGGTTGCATATTGTAACCGGTCACAACACGCAAGCTGGTAAGTGGTATTATTATTATTATGTTTTTTAGTTTTTTTTTTAGTTCTTCTAAGAGCAGTTCTTCTATTTTCTGTTTCTGTTTCTTACTAAGACTAGCTTTCTGATGAATAAAATCAATTCGCGCAGTCAAGATTATTTTTGCGAGCTATCGCGTTAGTACATGTTTGTAAACGTTAGCTCGCGTAATCTCATGATGTTACAACCTTACACTTAATATATGAGAATTTACATTTGTTTTTCATAGTGCAACTGCTCTACTGCAACATTTAACAACGCCCCAACTTCAACACACAAACTATTGTATTCTGAACAACTTAATTTGCGAGAAGTGTACGGCATGCTGAGCAGCGAAATCCTGTGTTGTCCTGCTAGCTTAGCCACATGAGGAGGCTAATGTCGTGACTGTGTTGGTAGTTAACTAAGATGATCGATATTTACCTCGTGATAAACGCAAAATCCAGCCACTTAAACAAGCATTTAAATGCAAGTACAATGATCATAAAAAAAACGATCCGTTTAGTTATTTTAAGTCGCATGAATTCGGGTTGCATATGGCATCTAGTTGCAGCACAGCCTTTGTGTTTGCTCTGTGTTATTGTTCCACAAACCTCAAAGAGTGTACGATTATGTGCAAGCAGAAAGTTGATACACTACATACATATGTGGGCTAAGCATGCAATAGACTGCATTATTCTACTGGACAGACAACAAACATGCACACAAAGCCTCAGAAAAAAAAGAGCAGAATGTACAATAAGTATGGTAGCCTCTAGATTAAAGATAGAAGTCAAGTTTATGTATAGATACTAAATTATCAAAGTTGTAATTGATTGTAAAATGTAAGATTCTGCAGTTAAAGCTTATTGTTAAACAGTAGTTATCAAGCATCAAATTTAAATAAATGTGTCCTTACTGATGCACTTTCTGTACATGGGGTTTTGTTTTGTGCTCAGGAGATAAAGTAATTTAGCAGTTTATGATTCATCCGTCACAGACCCTTTTCTTAGCTTTGTCAAAGATTCAGACAAAAATGAAAATGAGAAAATACAGTTGCCGTGGTGAGTCTTATGACAATGTTGTCTCTCTAAAAAAAACGAACTCCCCCTGGCTGTTTGCAGGAAGTTCATGAATAACTAACTCACATTTTGAGGAACAAGGATCCTAAATCCTGGTCAGGTGGAGGATATGTCACGATGTGTTTACTCAAGTTACAAAAAAAAAAAAAAATCAACACATTAATTAAGGAAGAACTAATTCCTCTCCTCCATCACGACCACAGGAAGGGCTCAGCGCAGCCTGGGTGCCCAGGGATCCACTGCCTGAGTGTGGGGAGAGCTGTGGCCGAGACCCCAGAGACATGAATCACACCAAGGGCGGCCTGGTCATCTTTACCGCAAACTCTCACCCCTCCAGCCGCGAGATGGGCAAGAGGATCGCAGAGTGAGTACAGGACAACTTGTTACACACACACACACACACACACACACACACACAAATACACAGACACATAGAAACAGTTATGCAGATGACAACTACTCAAATATGTTCTTTAAAAACAAGTTGGCTGCTAAAGGCTGTTGACTGTAGTGGAAACGTGAAACAGCTTTCATCCGAATCACTGGCTATGCTTGGGTCTAATGTATAATTCAAATGACAAACCAGAGGTAGCTGTAGTTTAAAAAAAAAGTCTATTAACGGTATGATAAAGAACATACACATCCTGTGCTAAAATAATTTCAAGCAAAGGAGTGATATGTCATTTATTTTTACTGCTCTATTTTTTCCTCATGAGACATTCATTTCTTTCACTTTTTTTTTTTATTACATTTTACCCATTTTTTCTAGCTTCTAGCTCCACATTGAGTATACCTGTGTATTGTCCTGCCATGATTGGCCATTTTGGGGTCTTATGTTTACCTACTCATGTTTTGTAGTTTGCTTGTTTGTCGAAGCATCTCATAAACTGTTAAATAAATATCACATCATATAAGTGTCACTCCGAGGTGAAATCGTGTCTTCACCCGAGAGCAGCCAAATGTTGCCACATTAAGAAGAGTGTCCCTGCAGCTAAAAGAGTATGAAACAGTGCATGTTCATCTCTGTACTTACCCCTCGTAACTTCCTTTATTATGAACACATTTCTAGTTTCTATGCCCTGGGTATTAAAACGTTCTAGAAATGCACACGATGTTCTCTGGGCATCCACAATGACATTTGAGTCTGCATGTTTATAAAACAAATACGAGTATTCAGCCAGGCTTATGCTTATCAGAGATTACATTCCAGCTGTGAGAGAGGAGAGAGGGGAGCTTTAGCGCAGCATGTTAACAGTTAACTAGAAGAAAATGTGCTGACTGCAGAGTGAGCAGGGAAGGTGTTGGAAAGAGAATGCATGTTACAAATAATACATTTCTGGTGCGCGCTGGTGGCGCAATGGTTAGGGCGCGCGCCCCATGTATTGAGGCTGTCGTCTCAAGCGGGCGGCCGGGTTCGCATCCCGCCTGTGGCCTCCCTCCCGCATGTCGTTCCCCACTCTCTCTCCCTGGTTTCCGACTCTATCCACTGTCCTATCTCTGCATTAAAGGCACAAGCCCAAAAATAAATCTTAAAAAAAAAAAAATAATACATTTCTGTATTCTCATATTCTTAACAAAGTGAGTGTTTGATTTTATTGAAGGATTCATTATTTCTGTGTGTGTGTAAAACAATTCTTCATCACTGAATCTTGCATTGTTTCCTTGTAACAACAATTTTCTGACTCCAAGAACCTTAGAACACTCTTTTTCTACCCCCCCCCCCCCCCCCCCTTCTCTGTCTCTCTGTCTCAGGCGGTTAGGGGTGGAGCTTGGCAAGGTGCAGGTGTACCAGGAAGCTAACAGAGGTAAGGTGCTGCTCATTCATTGGTTCACTTGACCTTTATTTCTTTAAAGGGGTAGTTTTTTGGGGCTGTATGGGACATTTATCAATTGAGGAAATACCCAATCTATCCCTTTAAAATATTCTCATTCATGAGGTGTTCAATGCAACCAAGCGAGTCTCACTCAAGCACAAAAAACAAAACCAGAAAAACCCCAAGTGACCTACAGCTGATCCGTGATCCATTCGGATCTCCCCCCACAGTTCTGGCTGCACGTGATCTGCGAGTTGATAGAAAATGATCATCATGGTGTGAAGCAAAAGTTTCAGTGAAAAGAATACAGCGTTTCATTAGTGCATGTGTGCTTCATGGAGATCCGCAAAAAAAAATATGAAGACAATTCAGTCTTTTCAAAATATATTTTTATGCACGATTTTTGCAGACTTTCATACAGAGACGTGTACTCTTAAAGTGATATTTAAAACTCTGCTTCAAAGTTTCTGCGTTTAATCTCATAGTGTTTGAATTTGTCATGAATGTATCAGCTGGTGGCTGCGTATAACATCAATCAGAGTGGTTAGGGCGCGTGCCCCATGTATGGAGGCTATGGTCCTCCCAGGTTCGAATCCCGCCTGTGGCTCCTTTCCCGCATGTCATTCCCCACTCTCTCTCTCTCCCTGATTACCGGCTCTATCCACTGTCCTATCCCTCCATTAAAGGCACAAAAAGCCCCCCAAAAAAATCTTTAAAAAGTTCAGGTTTATCTAACTGCAATTCTGTCCCCCTAGTTCTGTGACCAAGTTAATAGTTAAAAAATAAACTATGTGCAGGTTGTATGTTGGGTAGAAAACGATTTGAACTGAAGTCTGAAACATTCTGTATAATGCAGACTGCTGCACCGACCCTGTAGCCTTCATGATCACATTCAAATGGACTGGTTCAGTGTTTGTGAACAGAGCAGAGGAACGCAAAGTGTGTCTGCAGACTTTGCGTTCCTCTGCACAGTTTTAGACCCCTTTATGAGTACTGACTTTTTGTTGTTGTCAAAGACCTATGCAGAAATAATGCTTGTCTGTTAAATAACACTGACCCACATTAAAGGCTCTCTGAAAGCAAGTGTTCATGTAAACAGACATCTGACGCTGCTCCTGAATATTTTGGAAATATAGCGAAATGTGCCATTGTTCCAAAAGAACAATTAGCTGCCAAACAGTATCTTTGAATGAACTGGTTTATTTTGTGAACGCCAGTTTAATTTGAATTATACTTTCTGTCAGAATAAAGGAAGATAGCCTGTTGATGATCATTATCAACAGGGAATTATTTAACTGTTACATTTTTAGGAGTATTCACATAAGCATAAGAAACAGGCAGGTAATGTGGCCCTAAACAGAAATGTCAGTTTGGAAAATAAAAATTGTAGTTTGTCTCACTGCTCATCATTTGTTCTATATTTAAAAGCAAAATGTCCTGTTCTGTTGGAAAATAACAATTTAGTATGTTGGATTTCATCTGTAGACATTTCAGCAGAAGCTCTTTATTTCGTAGTGTTTAATTTAAGGTGTTATTTATCGTGACTATTTATTTATTAGTTAATTATTATAAGACCAGCTGGTTATAAGACATCCTCTTGGTTTCTCTTTTGGGATCTTCCTTGAAAATGGTCAGAGTGCTTGACTTAAGGTTACAGACTACAAGCAAGTCTCAAGTAGATGCAACAGTGTTGTTGCATTCTGGGAGATTACAACCAGCGTAAAATAGAAAATCAGTCTTTTGTTCTTTTAAGTTAAATTTTGTGTCTTTATTTAGAGTTGGAAAAAGTACTGAGTCCACACACCAGAAGCTGCTCCAATTACATTGAATCTAATGGAAAAATCACATGTAACGTTACGGGCCCTCGCTCTTCATCAGACAACTTCTGACATGTGATTTTTACAATTCAATTTAAGTGGAGCAGCTTCTGGTGTGCGGACTCAGTACTGTTTCTGTCTTTGGATGTTTTTTGTCCAGCATCCAGTACTTTCTCGGATGTGCGTGCCTTTTTGACATTTTTTTGTTTAGAGATAGGAAAGTGGATATATTTAGAAATCATAAGGAGAGAGAGAGGGAGGAATGAGATGTACAAAAGGAGCCACAGGCCGGATTGGAACCCGGGCTGTCCGCTTGGAGGACTATAGCCTCTGTACATGGGGCGCACACACTAACCACTAGGTTACCTGCACCCCAGAAAAGTCTCAATCAGTCTTAATACACGTAAAATGGATTTAAATTCTATTTCAAACTGTTCTTCCTCTTTCTTTTAATGAGTCTGCATTACAGTAAGCGTAATGTTGGGTTTAGTAGTACAAGATGTAGAAAGATGAACATTTCACTCAGTGAATATTTAACCTTTCTAGGCTCCCAAACAAGATATATTTGATGACACTTTCTTTCTCTTTCTGCCGCACATTTGGCTCTTCATAGGAAGCATTTTGTTTTCTAATGTCTTTTGCGTGGGAGGCACATGTTTGGAATGCTAGTATCTACACTTTCACACAGTTGGAGTCTGTTGGGGAGGGGTTGCTTTTCACGCCAGAACCAAAAAGGGCTCAGATAGCCTTCTAATGAAATTGACAGCCCTCCAAGGCTTTGTCACGAAGTAGAAGTGTGTGTGTGTGCGCATGGGTTTGTGTTTTTGTGTACTGGTGTTTCTAGCTTGTCTTTCCTTCTCACGTCCTGTTTGTTTCCATAGAAACGAGGGTGCAGGTTCAAGAGTCGGTGCGAGGCAAAGATGTCTTTGTGATCCAGACGGTGTCCAAGTAAGAAAGAACACGCACACACAGCTGATACATTTTGATAGTTTCCTCTGAAACATCTCACTCACCTCACGTGTCATGTCATACTCTCTCCTCTTCTTTTCGCTCTGTTCTCCTCTTCCCTGTGGCTGGAGCAGAGATGTGAACACCACCATTATGGAGATGCTGATCTTGGTGTACGCATGCAGGACATCCTGTGCCAGAAGCATCACAGGCGTCCTCCCCTACTTCCCCTACAGCAAGCAGTGCAAGATGAGGAAGAGGGGCTCCATCGTCACTAAGCTCATCGCCTCCATGATGTGTAAAGCAGGTGAGCGTTGCTATGAAGCATAAAGCAGGTGGTGGGACCGCCTCCTACTGCCCCACTGAATCAACAAGTCGCGAAATTCCACACAAGACCTCGCTTTGCCTCCTAGACTCCCTTCTGCTTGTGGGTTTTCTCCATGGCTTCACAGCCAGCTGTCAATCACAGCAGAGCATACAAAACGAAGGTCAAACATACTTTTTATCAATCTGGATCGATTGGTTGAACAAAGATTGAATCAACTCGATGGAAAGTGAAAGAATTAATCTACATCATCATCTAATAGAGACATGTAAAAAGAGACTGTCTCTGCAGTGAGCTGTCTGACACATAGCCCAGCAGCGATCCAGTTTTTTAAAGTAACCACGTAAATAATCAATGCTGTCGCTTATTGCAGACATAAGACATCAGGAGGTGCTGGTGGCTGCCTCTAGTTGGTTTCTATTTACTTTGCCTGTTTTTGAGCTAGAAGTTCTTCAATGTTTACTTAGCTTACTCCTCTCCTGGATGAAGCACTTTAATGTTTGACTCTGGCAGGTGAGGCTTGAGTTAAACTGCTGAGTGAAATACTTCTTCACCTTCAATGATGAAGTCAAAAACAAAAGTTGCATGACTTGAAATACTAGGAAAAGTGTTGGCTGGAAACCTTATCATGTTTACCCTTCAGTCAGGCTTGTAGAAAACTGATAAATGGAGTTAGTTAGGGCGGAATACAAGTAGTCCTGCCTGCAAGCAGCCATCAGCTGATCTGAGAACCGCCCAAATGCTAACCAATCATTATCACACTCTGACAACAAGGCGTTCTTTTTAAACCATTCTGCCTCTCACTCCTCCTGCATCACATCCACTCTGCTGCTAGACACTGCTGTGAAATTCTCCTTCCACCACCCCAACCTCCACCAGCTTCAGTCAGCACATTTTATACTCTAGGATGAATTGTTTGCTCGTTAAGTCAGTATCATTACGTAAACGTTCAGGTCTGCATGACCCCATGGGGGGGAATTATTGTCTGCACTCTCAGCAAAATCTGTGCCATGCTGCATTGATACTGCTGAGAGCTAAGAGCAGAACCAATACCGCCAAATACAACTGTACAAACCATAGTTTGGAAGATTTAGAAACTTTCTATAATGTTCCCATTAGTTTGCAATATTACAGAGTGTAACATTTCATCACCAGGGCATTTGAGATTTGTAAGGTGAATCAGTCAAATCCTCATAAAAGGCCAGTTTAAAAAGTCATTTCACACATTGTCCCCAGTTTTGTTCAAGGCAAACCAAAGTATTGCAGCTGTGAACATCACGACTTTCAAACATGCCTTGTTTGTGCAGGTCTCACCCACCTGATCACCATGGACCTCCATCAAAAAGAGATTCAAGGCTTCTTTAACATCCCTGTGGACAATCTGAGAGCGTCCCCCTTCCTGCTGCAGTACATCCAGGAGGAGGTAAAACCACTAAGTCATCATGACGGTGTCAAATCTTTTTTTTTTTTCTGCAACACATAACAATGACGAGCCCCTACCTTTCCTGGTTACAGTTATTACGCTCTATTTAGTCAATCACTGTTTAAAAAGAGTTAACTTTTAATTAAAGCAAATCTGTAATTTTTGTCATCTTAATTTATCTCCAGATTCCCGACTATAGAAATGCTGTAATTGTTGCCAAATCTCCAGCTTCTGCCAAAAGGTAGGCTCCCCTCCTTTTACCACCTTTTTCTTCTCAGAGGAAGTTTAGATCAGGTATAGCCTTCATGTAGCAGAATACAGCGCTGCTTTGTACCACACTGTGTGGTTATGATACAGCCATAAGGGGAAGCAAAGGTACCCACAGAAAACACACAGTGAAAATGTTTTAAGGAAACAAAGTTATGTTCAATGTTTATGTACATTTCCTGTACGTCTTCCTCTTAACTGTTCAGGCTTCTTGGGATCGGGTTGAGTAATTTGTCAGGAAAGGCTTGTTTTTGATTGTCCCTCTCTGTCTGACCGGGCAGAGCTCAGTCATTTGCTGAGCGGCTGCGTCTGGGTATAGCAGTGATCCACGGTGAAGCACAGGACGCAGAGTCGGATCAGGTAGACGGACGTCACTCCCCACCAACCGTCAAGACCACTGGAGCCATTCACCCCAGCATGGACATACCATGTAATGTAAACACACACACATACACTAACAATGATCAACAAAAGAACCCACTCATCCCCATTATGCCCCTTAGGCCTACTCATGAGTTACACAACCTACTTAATGGCCCTTAGTTGTCACTACGACCAAAACAGATGTGCCACCTTCAACATCTCCGTTTATACGAGCTAACCAGGTAGTGACATCACACATATTGCTAAGCCTACCGCATGGCTCCCCACAACTCAACGTGTTTTACCAACATGGGATCATCCACAAGGACATTTGATCATATAAATGACATGAGAAGTGAGACAACATTGATCAAATACTTTTTTTTCAAGTTAACTCATCATGACTTCTTTCTTTGTCCTTTTTGTTGTTTGTAGTGTTGATCCCGAAAGAGAAGCCTCCAATTACTGTGGTAGGCGATGTAGGAGGCCGCATTGCAATCATAGTGGTAAGAGAAAAGCGTTCGATTGGTTTAACACATTATCATGGCTTTTACCATGTGGTTTAACTGCAGATATGAGTGGACCGAACAGATTAAACTAACTCTCTATAGCTACTGTAAGGGATCTGCCTTGTTTGAGACCGCCTATTTATCTTGCAGGATGACATCATCGATGATGTTGACAGTTTTGTTGCAGCAGCCGAAACTTTGAAGGAAAGAGGAGCCTATAAGATCTTCGTCATGGCGACACATGGCATCCTCTCATCTGAAGCTCCTAGATTCATAGAGGAGTCGGCTATTGACGAGGCGAGTTGGGCACCTTTACATCTTTTCTTCAACCTAACCATATTCTGCTGTTACTCTTTAACATCTCTTTTTTTTATGCACCTCTACCAGGTGGTGGTGACCAACACAATACCCCACGAGCTCCAGAAGCTCCAGTGTCCCAAGATAAAAACAGTGGACATCAGCATGATCCTGTCGGAGGCCATCCGCCGCATACACAACGGCGAGTCCATGTCCTACCTGTTCCGCAACATAGGAGTGGATGACTGACCAACCTGTCCAGCACACATTATCACACACACACACAAAATCACACGTGCCATTTGCGTATTTAGATCTCTTCAGAAACATAAGTTTGAATGTTAAACACTGAAGTTACCACACACACACACACACATACACACACACACACACACGCACACACTCTCTCTAAAGATTCCATGTCCATAATTTCAATATAAATGCTAACTCTTTCCTTTGAGTGCAGCTTACCATAGACCATGACTGAAAAATAAACACTTGCACATAGACCTCTGCTCACTAGTCTCGTTACATAGCTGTGACTGAACACACGGATCTGAGTGTGGCTGCCCTTATCTGCTGTCAATTTAACTTTATTGTACTGTTACCGTTTTTCTTTCTGTATCGCCATCTCATCTGCATAACATGTTCTATTTATGTCTCCATAGAAATTACTGTCTGCGTTAGCACATGGCGTTGTTTTTAGCACTGAATGTCTCTTGAAGAACAGTCCTACTTCCTCATCTTCACACGGGCAATATTCCTCTGACATGGAATCAGGTTGTGAAGCTCAAATGCTGTTATTATTCATATAGAATGTATGAACGTGGGGGGAGGGGGGTCTGACCATTTGTTGTCATTTAACTTCTTTGGGTTGATCATTAACTGGAACTCAAAGAGTAGTACAGGTCTAGATCGACTTTGGAACGTATTTCAAATCAAAAGAAAATGTGCATATCAGCTACTGCTGGACAGCCGCTAACGTTAGTATTCAACCAATCCCTAGCTCACTTTATCGTAGCTATGTATTCACACTCCTCTTATCCTGCTGTGTAAAATATCAAACTGTGATATAATCTAGAAAGTGACTGAACGCCATGATTTTCTGTATTTTTAGATGGAAGCTAACAATAATGTGACCTTTTCTCACGTAACAAAATATTTGAGTTTCCCATCCTGAGCATGTGGTCAGAAAAAAATGGCTGCTGTGTTAATATGGTGATTTTCTTATAGTAACAGTAAGAGTGCCAGTGCCTTCTCCAGGACATAAAATTCACAGGCCTTCACTGCTCCAATACACAACCGTCTCATAGCTAACATAGCAGAGGAACAATGCTCTCGTATGAATGTTCCCAGCTGATTACTTCATACAGACTTATTGTATTGCATGTTTAACCCTCTGTCATTTTCATGTGCTTTCTGAACGTGCTACTTAAAACATTAGTTGAGACTCCAGATAGGTAGCCATATGTTTAAGTAATAGCGGTAGCATCAAGGACTCTTAATTTGTTGTCAAATTTAGTTGTTGCTCAAGACAGATTTCTTTGTTCATTTGGACAATACAAAGACTTATGGCAGTTCACTTGTGAAATATGTATAAATGTAACCCTGTGTGCCATTTTTCAAAGATTGCTCATATTAGATGTTTGTTTATGCCAGAAATAAGTTGTTCCCTTTCAGCTAGAGGGCTCTGCTCTGAAGAAACCTAACGAAGTTAGCTTTTCAGCATTCAGATGCAGTTTTAGAAGGACGTGGTTTACCCAAATAATTTAGAAATTGGTAAATTAATCTTTTATCATAAGGTCATTTTATGAGAGACTGAAGTTTGCTTACACACATTCTACCTGAGTTTCCTAAAAAAACGAAGTTCCGAACTACAGCTGAAGCTGGACAAATAAAATGACCCTTTTTCTGATGAGCAAAACTTGACTGAAGCAGGTCTTTGTCACTTTACAAGATGTGTTTCAAAATGTTTTGTATTTATTTTCGGCACTTCAATGAATAAATACGACCTCTTAAAGTAAATAGTTTTGTGTCTTCATGTTTAATCCTCTGTTTCTTTTTACCTGCTCTTTTGTAATGTTAAAAGACAGAGTAAGATCTTTTACCTGCTTTTTGTAAAGTGTCTCGAGATAACACTTGTTATCAGTTGACGCTATACAAATAAAAACTGATTGATTGATTTTTTTGTTCTGATCAGCTTACCAGCTTAATGTGTAGTGTCCTCCACGTTAGTGGTGCCATCCTTTTGTGGGTGTTGGTATCAAACGTAAGTTTCTGTTAATCCTGACAGATGTTACAGTGTTACAATTCACTTAGCATACGCTTTTATCCAAAGTGACATACATCAGAGAGTAAGTACTAATCCATTCATATACTACACTACAAATGGCGCCACAGATTTCTTTTGAAAAATGTCAACCTTATGTTGGTGATAAAGGCAAAGTCAGGGGATAAGTGTTTTTCTTTTTAATGGCACTAAGATTGTATAGAATGTATAAATCCATCTGGGAAATATTTAAGATATTACATTGGATAAACAGAAAGTTGGACCTTGATGTAATACTTCTTTGAACTAATTTTGTATAATAATCGCAGAAAAACACACTGAAGCATACAGGTATAATATCCAATAAAGACTATTGTAAGAAATAAAAAAGTATCTGTCAGTTCCCAGATCGGTTGACTTTTTGCCCTTCACAAAGCAGTGTTCTAATTTTTTCAACTGTTAAGTCTAGAGACCACTGGCTTTTGGATTCATTTTTTTATTATGAAGTAGGAAATAGGTCAGAAAACAGGGTAATGGGGATGGTAGGTGTCCCGGGGTCTTTTTGTTAAGTTCCACGAGTATCCCAGATATTTATTTTCACTGTAATTCAATCCACAAGAGACACATTGACAGAATGTATGACTTCTTTGATCATGGGTGTCATACATGCTTTAGTGAAACGTCTAAAAGCAAGACTCCAATCAAATGGGTTACTCTGGGCATAGTTTTATCAGTGTTTAAAGTATTAGTTCAGGGTTCCTTGAAGGTTCCTGAATACTTGTCCCACCTCGACATATAGATGCTTTTAAACAAACTGAATCCTGAATACAGAAATCCAGAAGAACATTTTGAAATGTCCTCAGACAGTCATGTTCTAGAATAACAAATAACTCAAAGGTCGGTCGATGACTGCAGGGGTTCAAGACCAATATTCTTACTGGAATTATTGATTTCTACTGGTTCATAGATAAGGCTAGCTTTTTTTTCAAAATGATTTCTAGCAATTCAGCTGCTTTAGAGACTGAATCTTAGATCATCCAGGTGATAGAAGGGGAGGTAGAGGAAAGTCAGAGTGGGACTGGATTTTGCACAAACCTTTCTGCAAAACAGCAGGCTGAGATCATCCAATTGTATCTCTTTGTCCTCCAGTACTCTCTAAATATAAAGGATCTATATACAACAGGTTGGGTAGTTAGCATACAATCATCCAAAATTCAGGGACAACAATTTCCAGGATTCAATCAAGTTTCTTGTCTCGTTTCTTGTTCGACATATTTCATTTTTATTTATTAACACTGACAGACAGGAACTGTTTCAGACAAACATGGTGGCATCAACTAAAGAACAGAACCAGGCAGAGAAGGAAATTGGTTTTAGACCCGAGACACACTCGAAGGTCGGCTTTTGCACTGTCAGATTGTCCTGCTCACACTATTTGGCACCGCTCCATCCATTGTCATACATCCATTATAACAACACATGAAACCTGTCTCTACTTTCTATTTGAAGAAGTCAAGCCAAGGGGTTGTTGTTCTTAAAAAATGACTTAAGTTGGGAATTAAATGTGTAATGTGAGCAAAAGCAGATGTGATATCCGAACAAAAATAATTCAAAAATACATTTTTAACCTCTTCCTGATTTTTTTCCAGTTCTGTTAAGTGTTCTGCAGTCCATACCTGATCTACACAACAGGTTTGTGTTCTTATAACTCTATCGGCTGTTTCTTAAGTGTTTACAGAGACATGGTTACCAGTGGTTACAGGACAGCTTGCCATTATTCCAGTTAGCTTTCCACCCTGAGCATAAAAAAAGTCAAACTAGAAATGCAAGTAAATTAAATTGTGTCTGGGCACCTCCATGAAATACTGACCCTGAGGCACATCAATACAAGGCATTTGAAAAGCCAAGAGCATCTCTGTACATGTTGGGCAGGCTGATATGCCCTAAAACCATGCACACTACTGCCATCTGAACCAGTCTTGGATTTGGAAAAACAAGTGATGAAGTGCCGAGTAGGGTAACCTGTTAAATTTCACGGTTTACATTCGATGCTTCTCGCCAAAACATGTTGTGTGAGGTCTGACAAACATGCTGAATGCAGGCGTTTTGCCTGCAAAGTTGGTTAGAAACTCATGCCACACAAACTGAAATGTGGGTGGGGTGTGCTCTTCTGTCTTTCAACTAGCACAGCTCTTAACACCTAAACAAGGCACTAAACCCTCTAACCTGCTTCAGCATAGCTGCTCCGAGGCCACAAGTGGGAAAAACTGTTTTGAAGGTGAGCCCAAAAAAAATCAAAACATAGGAAAAAAGCTGTTTGGAAATAAAAGGAAAAATGAGATAACACTTGAAAGGTGTCCTGAAGGAAGGCATCAATCTGTCTACAAACTGTAACAAACACTGTTGAGAGCTACAATCAGTCTAACAATACATCAGTATGTCTGTTCTGTTCTGTAATCACTTGCAAATACTCTTTTAACAGTTAACACATATTCTGCTTACTCAATGCAGGCAGGAGTGATGGACAGAGACGGTGATAGTCAGCTACAGCACAACACATCTGAAGCCTTTGTAAAGGCAAACGCAGCAAGTTCACAATTACAAACAAGGCAAAGTGATCAGTTCACTGTGTTTAGTACTCAATCCCAAAGTGACCTGGACTTGATTTGGTGATAAAACAGCAATTGCACAGCTCTCACTGTTTTGACATAGAGATACAACCGTAATGGAAACACTTTAAGAAATAAAAATACACAAATGGGTTGCTTATAGCTGAAATGCTCACCATCTCTAGACCCTTGTTTCTGTCCAAAAGGACTTTATTACAAATCAATTTGGAAGGTTAGAACTATAACTTTTGATCTTCAAAATAACAACCTTGCATGAAAATGTAAAACCCTATACTTTGAGGTTTTCTCCCTTTTTCAGTTTGATTACATCGTATCATTACAACATTTTTTTATTTAAGCACTAGGCTATTTTGCTCCCATTAGTCACTGAAAATGTAACACCACTTCATTCCTGTATGTCAGAGCCTGACTAAGATTAATATGCTCTAACCAGGGGGACTTGTTCATTGTAGATTGGTTAACGCAAAACCCATTTTTTGAGTGAAAACCTAACTTTAAAGGCATGTCATCGTGTAAACATTTTGTAAACACTGAACAAGCGGCTTTTGTCTAATCTTATCTTTTAGGCTCTTCTATCACCCTGTGTTCTTGGGACTTGCTTCTGTGTACAACAACAACAAGGGATCTTAATATAGCAGAACTGCTTATTCACATGTTTGTTCAAGTTTTCTTTGTTTTGTGGGAGGATATACAAAATAGTTCTAATATATTAACAACACTAAGACTCTACAGCCACTCTAATGGCTCTAATAAGACTGTTCTTTGATAGTGTGTCGAGTTAAATGTCATTGTCAGTGCTACGAAGCTCAAAATATCAATGTTAACATGCTAGCATGTGTAAGTAGCATTCTAATTAAAGTTGTTAGCATGCTAAAACTTTGCTAATTAGCACTAAATACAAATAACAGCTGTAAGTAATGTGAATGATATTAGCTCGCTTGTAAACATAATATTTGATCAATTAAATGTTCAACTTAAAAAAAAGAATTATTACCATTTATCCTCAGGAGAAAAAGCATGTTTGTAAAAAAGCAATGAGGCTACCTGTCTCAAGGTTAAAAAGTCATTTTAGTCCAAACTCACTTAGCATTGATCAAATTGAGCCCCGAGCTTTGCCTGAATAAAGAAATAATTTTTAACACAAGCAATTACTTTTCCTATTTTTTAGGTGTAAAAATTAGATGCTCTAAATCTCCAAACTGCACTGGTCTCAGACCTTTAACAATAATCCAGGGGTAAAATTCAAACTCAAAAACAATTCATAAGGGACTATAATTTAGCAGCCTCATCATTTTTAAGATTCAGAGTTATCAATGAATGTAACCTAGACAGAGCTTGCCAGCAAGCTGAATTATCTTGATTAACATATGCAACTCAGAATAATCCCAATGTTAAAGGTTTACACAGCATCATACATCATGTACCCTTTGTAAGATTTGTTTTTGTGTGACAACTTTCCTCGTGAGCATTTCACCAACCTTGTGGAAATATTAGCCATACAGTTGGTGTTTATCAAATAGTCATCATCAACCATTTGTCCATTCCCTTCAAAATAAAGACAAGAAATCTGTATTGCCCCCAAAAAAAATTAAACTTTCAAGAACCATCTTTAGTAGTTGACTCAATGTCCATCCCTCCATATTATATTTCCAGATTTGACCAAAAAACAACAACTTGTTTGTATGGTTACTCTTGAGTACAAGCACTTTTGGGACTTCCCAAATGTTTTAAATCTGCTCCAAACTAGTCTAATTTATAAGAAGTCACTTTATTTCAAAATACAATTTAAGAGGCAATTTCTATGTGGCTAAACCCGATTCATCTCCAATATATTTCTCCATTTTCTGTAAGTTAACTGAGCTAACTGACTAGCAACAATGTTGAATAAAACCAATATTTGGGCATTTTATCTGGCATGTAACTGAAGTCTATTTTCTATAGTCATATAATACTGGCACCTTCTACTCTTCTCCTAAAGCAAGAGTAGTGACGCGTGTTTACATGCACACAGTTTCCTGAATAACACTGTCGCCGAGATTCATATGCAGGTCAATTTTCACAAACATTTCTCAGAGGCAAAACTGTCCTAATACTGTATGTACTGTAAGAATAACAAAGCTTCACTG